CTTAATGAAGTGCAAATGCTTAATTTAAATAGGCGCAGATTTTTCCTTGGTTATTTATCTGTAGTTTTGCTACTTATTGGATTAGACTGATGTGTTTTAAGTGAACATAGGGGTATGTTCATTTTTGCGAAAAATTCCCTGTATGTATTGTTGTGTAAACTGCAGGGGAGTCTCTTTGAACTAATGCCGAGGACGAGAGCGAGACCCTATAGTGAAAATTTACGTGTTGTCAACGTAAATTCTGGTTTACAGCAGTCAGAACATCTCGTATATAAAATGTTTCAATTTATTTGATGGGAGCTGGGGGAATTTTGGTCAAAAAGACACAAAATTGGAAAATTTGTTAAAAGTAGATTTTGTTTTTAATTGTAAATGTAATATTTGTTTGGTGCGTTGAGTATCGTAAATTTTTGAACGTATATAAAGGGAATATTAATCGTAATGTCGACTTAAGATAAAAGTCTTGTCTAGCCAGGTATTTTGTAAAGGCGTTATTGGACAAATTAGTTGGCTTTATTTACTAACAACGTCATGTGCGAATAAAGGAAGCTGTTTCCGAGATTCAGCGGGACTACGAAATGGAATCAGAATGGAACAGATAGGTAAGTAGTGGTGGCTTGACCTTTAAGTACGAAAAAGAAGAGATAAACAATGCTGATTAGCCTAAGTCGGCTGTCTCGCCGTAATACTGTTTGCGAGTTGAGTGTAAGAGAAGTATGTATGTCAATGTCGTGCACTTACGGGCAAGTTTTCGCCGATTACGGTTAAAATTTACACAAATGCGGTTCCGTAGTTAAAAGGACAAAGTCAGTGTCTTGTTTTTGATGAAGTGCTGTTAATTAAAAATCTTGTAACCCGAGCAGCCATCATAATTATCAGTTAACCTCATTCAACAAGTTATTGGATTACCCAGTTTATGTGTTAAACAAAAATCAGTTGAAAGCGTTCAGATTTATGTAAAGTGTGATTGTACGGACTATTTAATTTGAATAAATATTATTTTTCGTACTTCCGAGACTAAAGTGACAACTTCACTCCATCATGACAAGTACTGAAGTGTCACTTTTTGTCCCGCCGGGATTAAATTTGGACGAAAATCCCGGAAGGATCAAATTACTAACAAGGCAATTTCAGTAGGTTGTTTCACATTTTGTATGCGGAACTACTTCTTAAACGCATCGTACTGCTGCTCATATAGTTTTTTGGATTTCGGTGGTATCAATTCTTTACCTAGTTTGGCTGATTTTTATCAATATCAAATACACCTTTGTCACGCACCACCAAAATTATGACACTAGCAATGACAGTTTCCAAATTATTTTTGTTACCATAGCATAGGGTTTGTCGTACCAACGCAACGTTCCTATGGTAACTTGTTAAGCAGCTATTTTTCGAAAGAGCGCGTTCTCTAACTCCATTCATATTAACAGTTTCGGAAGTACGAAAAATATCGTATATACCTTGCGACTGAAGTAGTGGTCTTAATCCCTCAGGTAAATTATGGCCCTCCCTTCGGTCGGGCCATAAACTTTACCTTCGGGATTAAAAGTACTACTTCAGTCCCGCGGTATATAATATACTATTTGTTTTTTTATTTGTCCGTTTTGTAAACGGGTTGTGTTTATGATCAAAATAGGCTTTGTTAGCCTTAATCTTTTTCTTACAGGTTCTTATATTGGATTGTTTTATCATGGTGTGTCATAGAATCTCTTGTCATTTCTAATTATAATCAAGTGTGTGTGTCAATTTTAATCCTTATTGGAGATCTAGGTAAAGTTTAATTTGATTTTAATCATTTATTTTAATCTGACTTAATTTTCAATTCCAATTTGAGCAGTTGTTTTCAAGGAAATTTAGGGATTTTTATTAAGGCCTTCATAATTTTTCAAACTTAAAAAACTTTTAAGGTTTTAAGGTTTTTCTTGTGTCGGAACCCAGTCACGCCCTGAGAGGAATTTTAAAAAGAGAGAAGAACATAATGGTAATTTGAAATAGCTGGATAGATGTCTCTTAGGAAGCCTTTGACCGCGTACCATTTTACTTAGCAGTATAACATACTTAAGTAATATAAAAGATACTTAGTTGTCGAATGTGTGCGACATAATTCCTGGCAGTGACAATTATTTATATTGAAAGATGAGGGTTAATTTTGATTAAGATATATGTCAGAAATAAAAATACAAATCAGTTATTTGGTAAGTGAAGTTCAAGGTTAACGTGAACTAGGCTGAAAAATACTATCCTTTCTGTAATAGGTGCACCCAAAATCGCCTATTTTTGGAATACAAAGGAAATGTGCAGGTGCTCCAAGAACAAATATATAGGTAGGTAGATACAAGAAAAATCAATTTGACAAATTTTCAGTTTGAAATCAGTCAGCATACTAGCGGTTGTTAAATTTGTCCAGAATGCATCTTTCGACTGCAAACAATTGTATTAATGAATCACCGGCAATTACTGCTGATTAATTGACGAAATCAATCCTATAAATTAGTCTAAAGCTATGCTCTTAAATTACTAATAGTTTGATATCGCCGGGCGTGGAAAATTTACTGTAGTCTAATTTACGTTTTTGCAATGCAAATTCAAACGCGTTACCTACATAAATGTCTCTTTACGTTATTAATTTCGGTTGCAGGCTCATTTACAATCCAGACTGTCTACTATTATTGTTTTTTTGTTTTTGATTTTTACCAATTGCATATAATAAAGTCGGTCTTATTATATATTGCTTGTTACATGCGTTGCAGTAAGCATCTGAATTACTTACGACTAGTATCCATCAGCAAATTGGTGATAAAAGTTCTGGATTAGATTGAGCAATATCATTTCGCCAAAGAGGTAAGTGTTAAATAAAGTCGAAGACTACTAGTCCTGTGCTTTCACAACAAGGGGGACTGCACGAGTTTTTTTTGAAATATGAAGAAACCCTTCAACGATATAGCTTCCTACAAGGTTGTATAAGAAATATAGACGAGCCAGGTATAAAACGATAAGGTCTTTTCCAGAGGTGAGGATAAATACCAAAAGGAAGTGGAAAAGAGCTAAGGGAAAATAAAGAATTACAATAAAAACTCCTGAAAAAGACAGACTGTTGGATAAAGACAAATGAATCTTGAAAAAGAGAGACGAAAAATTGCGCCAGGCCTTAAATGTGCTTCACTCTGGCAATCACATAAGTTAAAGAATAAAAAGGCAAAATCGTAACGAAGATTTTGGTACCGGAGAGATATGATCGTGAACAGAAGGATCAAACCTGGGTTGTTCTGGAGACGATGAAGGGAAGAAAAAGGGAATCTATTGGAAAATCAATTCGATTTTAGAGATAGAAGATCCACTCTGGATGCTGTGAAGGAAGTCCTAAAAATGGAGCAGTGGGCAGATCGGGAATCGTGAGGACAGAAACGCACTCAACTCGGAAAAATGGGATCGAATCGTAGATGCGTTTGAAGCATGGGACCTCCCAAATACCTGGAACAAATAGTCAAAAGATACCTCTCACACACATTTTTTTGAACAGGGTAGGAGGAAAAACTGAAGATTACGTGGGGAACATTTTATACATATTATCCGGTTCTGGAACTGGAAATTACTATAAGAGCACGAACAATTGAATTTATCGACGACTTGGTTCTCATTCTCATTATAAATAGCTTCCTACAAAACACGGTTGTTATAGGCCTGGTATACAAGATCAACCTGCAACATTAATGTATCTTTGCATTCTTCGCAGGGACCGTGGGGTGGAAGCACCCACGTGGCGGATAGAGGGACGCCCACACACACAGACATCCAAATTATCTAGCTCGTCGGCACTAAAACCCAGCTTGGTAGCCACGAAGGTCGTCACCGTGGATCAACCTCCCAAATTAAGGTGTTCCCTATCGTGCCGAGGACTACGTGACACTGAGACAGCAGTGTAGATAACAGTGCCCCTCGGATTCCGTGCGACCACCGAGTAGTGGTACCTTTCCTTCAAGAATGGACTGACAAGTCCTGCGCATGCGGCGCTGCCCATGTAAGTCCCCCCCGAACATCATTCAACGGCCTGTTTGTGAGCCACCCCCTCTTCACAGCAAGAATAGTACTGGCGCGTAGAAGGCAATGGACGAGAAGTGTCGGTTCGAGGGTCAAACCTTGGGTCACGCGGGTTGCGAGGCAAAGCCTAAGGCTCCGGGGGGGGGGGGGGAGCCTCAGTCGATATCTGCCATGGCTGCATCGGCTGACAGGGTTCCGCTGGAATGGATGCTCAAGGTTCTATAGCGGCTGAATGCGATAACCAATGAACGTTGAACTGGCTGGAGAAGACTGTTCCTCGTCTCATGTCCTGGGACGGTGCGGCTCTGGGGTAACCAAGGCGATGGTAGTGCTATGTGTGGAAATGTTCTCCAATTTTCAGTTCCTGCATTCGACATGACACCGCAAATCAAAAGGATTGACATCTGGCGGTCTACATCATTTTCGAAGGGAAGTGCGGGGATCGATTCGACCAACGACTCCCCACTGCATTCATAAGTTTCCACTGGCAACTGACTCTATAAATTCTTTTCTAAATCGTGTTATAATGACTTTTACTTGAAAGCGTCTTCCATTGCAATTATTAAACCAGGATGTTGACAAGAGTGCTTATTTTTCATTAACACGCCTCTGAATACCTCCTCCTGCTCCTTGACGAAGATATTTCTTACTAGACGCTGGACTAGTACCTACTTCCCCTATAATGGGATACATTTGCGATGTCATACACCTCTGACATAACGCAATACAGAAACATTTACGTAAATGTAGACAAAGGAACGATTACAATTTTTATTTCAAAATAATGGATAGTCTGAAAAAGCAAAAATCCATTAACTAAATCTCGATCACGGGCACATATAATGGAAAATACATTACCGGCTCTAGTCATTGTATAAATGCCGTAATAAGAAAAGCTTTTAACAGGATAATAATCTAATGTGTTACTGCGAGTAATAACTGAAACAGATTACGCTCGGCCATAAACAGTATAGGTGTTCAAAGTTAGCGAAACATGGCGCGACATAAAAGGTTAAAGTTTTATTTAAAAACTACAACAATACATGGCTTACATTACGTTGCCGATGAAAATAACAATGTATTCATAAGGTATTTCTGTTTTTCACAACTCTTGCATGTCAATGCCAAAATTGTAGGTTTTTGTGGATGGTCATCTTTGTGAGCTCGGTAGTGGGAATGTTCACGATATTTATAGCGCAGTACAACTCGTTTAAGCATAATTCAATAAGTTTCGTTACGGAAACGACCTATCTGGAATGGAACACAACTTTTCCAGCGGTAACTTTGTGCGAAGTTGGGAGCACGGAAATTTTCTGGACACCGTATGTATAAACCATGTGACCTCGCCTTGCTTGGTCACTGAGAGTCGTCATATAATATTATTACTTATTAGAAACCTCTTTATGAAAATCTGAGTTCTAGGTTAAACCACTATGCAGGTAACAAAAAGGCTTTTCGAGAGCTACGGTTCCCAATTGTTCTTCATACATTTTTTTCTAAACGACCATAACACAAATAAATTATTTTAAAAGTTTTTAAGCGATAGTATACCAGAGAAAAAATTCAGTAACCAAATTGTATTTCTTTTAGTGAACCAGACGAAGATTACTCTCCAGTGCAGCAGTTTATTTCGGACATTTTATTTTTTACTGGAAGTTGCTATTCTTGTTCGGCATCATGTGAAACATGCAGTAGACTGAATTTTCATGAAGTAGTGAAACGTGTAAGCAAACATTTTTGATTATATTCCACCTAGCACCTAAAAGGAATATTGCACAGTTTAATATGCAAGAAGTTTAACAAAGAAGAAAATAAAAATGCCACTTTCTGCACTATTTAAAACACTTCTACTTCTTCAGCCATCCGCAATTTCTCCACGTCTCCTGCTCAGCTTTAGCTTTATATACTAATAATAAAATATAACAAAAATTAACAGAACACAATTATATTACATAAAACAAACAATCTTGTAGCAAAAGTTCTAGCTTTTGTTGTGTGTTGTTTTGTCATTATAATACTTTTTTTACCCACAACTTTTCACGTGCCAAAGCTACGGCAGCCAAAAACCCCAAATTTGTGATTCTTTAGTTTTTGTCTACCTTTTTTGATTTTGGAAAAATATATTTCCAAAACTCTCACTTCAAAGTGAGATGCGAAAAATCGATCTAGACGAAATTTGGTATCCGGGTGTCTTAGTAGAACATAAAAATAACGCAAATTAACTTTTGAAAATGCAATACCCGGCATGACAACGAAAAAATCGCGAGTATTTGTTGGCGAGGCGAATATTCCTGATTCACTAATAAATGCGATTAACTTTTCCTTGTTAAAAAGTCGTATGAAACAATTGACAATTTTTGTGGTCCCATGACGAGTGCCGGCTATCTTATAAAATGGAACCAGCCTCGATTAAATATTATTTATAATTTTGATTTGAACTGTCAAATGCAATTTTTCACATAAAAAATGTTAAAAATGACAAAATTTAGGTATAGGGTATTATACATGACATGTAACATATAGTTAACATGAACATCCGGTATGTGCCACCAACTTGAACATATTTGAGGTGAATTCCTCTTATTAAGGATCCTCAGATCCTTTATAGTTTTGTATTGTCGTCCGTCCGTCCGTGTGCGCTCTAACTCTTTTTAAAAGTGGCCGACTGTGTTGAAATTTGGTGTATGGGTACTTTGGATTTTAAGGACGGACGCTATTGATTTTCAGTACGCTGGTTCAACAGGAACAAAAGTTATAGGGCTTCCAGTGAATCGGGAACAGGAAAAACTGCGGGCTCAATATAATAGAAATTAACATATTTCATTCCCTAGGTCATGTATCGAGTTCGGACTTTCGCTAGATTATTCCCTATGGCTTTTAGATGTGTAATAATTCAATATAACTCATCTCTGTGGTACAGGTCGAAAGTCTTAGGGCAAAATGTACCCAAAATTATTTTTTAAACATGAATTGGGAATTTTAAAAGCTTTCTAACGCATTATCTTGATGCTGAAAGAGTGCATCACGTCGTGCACATTTGATAACCGCATATATGAGATTCAAAGATGTTAAATGATCTTTCGGAGTCCACATGGATTTTGATCAAAATACGTCAAAATCGTTATTTATGCACCAAGATCGTTGGGAAAAAGACCAAGAGCATTATCTCATTGACCAAAACATGAATTTTGATCTATTTTTGGCAACCACATGGATTTTGATCAAAACATGTCAAAATCGTTTTTCTTGCACTGATATCGTTGGGAACAAGATTAAAAGCATTATCTCAATGACCAAGACATGAATTTGATGCATTTTTGTTAACTATAAAACGTATTTTGTAAGATTAAAATAAATTGTCGTTAAAAGTGATTGTAATACTGAGGATCCTTCGATATTTCGTTGTATCGGTTTATTTATTATTTCAAATTATTTCGAGTTCTCCTTTTCGAGACACAGATAGCCTGTATAATGTGTTTAGGAGAAAAATGTGGGTAGGTATTGTAAATGATAAGTACTACCATTTACCACTGTGAATGTCATAATTGACATTGATTACCATGACATCCACTGGCGACATAGGTACGTTTGATATGAACGTTATTAATGAACCTTGTGTAACTAAAACCACTCTGATTACCCCTCTTGGTTTTAACATTACACGCGTTTCGTTGTGATAATCAAATCGAACTTGTATCATTAATAATTTCTAAAGGGAATAAATAACAGTTCATTCGATTCAGGGCAAGTTAGTGGCAAGTTTTTAAACAATGAAGTTGGCTTATAAGCCTACTAATTCTTTGGCCGACCAGGAGACCCTGTATGCAATGCGGTGTATAGAGCATGACCCATTTTTTTCTTGAAGAAGACCAGTACGACTTAAAAAAAAATTGAGTGGCCATTCCAACTCGTGGTAAGTGTTGAGTTATGACGTCATATGCATTAAATTCTCGTAGACATCACGTGTGTTTACGGACCCAGTAAATTTTGAGTCGTGTGAATTTGAACAAGTCGAGTAAAAATTGTAAAATTTTCAACAAAGATTGTGAAAATAAAGCAATTCAATTTTGTTATTAAATCATCGTGACCTTTTGGCATTTGGAATCATTAACCGTAGTGGTTTGTGGAACCTGAAAGTCGCATTATTCTTGATATGTAGACAAATTGAAAGCTTTCAATTAACATGGTCGAAGGTTTTGCACACAGCTTCCATGTCGGTTTACAGAGAAAATCTGCGGGAAACTATCAACAAATCACATAAAGCGCTACAATACGACCTATTTAGTTAGATAATGTTATTATACCATCTAAGTCACATTTATATCCAGGAAATTACCACAAGACAGAGAGTAATAAAGTTTATCGCTAAGTTTCTCATGACCAGAAAAAATAACTCTTCCTGTCCGAAGCAGGAAACCAATAAAATTGTTGATTGAATTTCTGATCGACGCGTTAAGCTCCAATAAAGGAGTGCAAATTCGTATTCACATCGATACCGTTGTGAGGGTTAGGTACCTACCTAATAAATCCCTTTTCCAGTTTCGAAAAGATTGCCGGTCAATTATGCAAGTGTGTGAGTGGAATGGCGTACCGTTCGAGTGCTGCGACAAATTTTTGCCAATAAATACCGAGTACGGAATTTGCTTCTCCATTAACTCGTTACATTCGACGTAAGTTAAATCGTTTGTTTTCGAAGGTGAGAGTTCGCTTTCAGAAAAACGCCCAAATCTGAAATAAACATGGAATCTAATAGGGCGACGGGCCCTGGAGAATTATATCTTGAAGTGATTGAGGATATAAGAGTAATATTACTAGACCTATAAAACTCATGCGGAGCTTTAAATTGTAGATTTATTTCCATGCACCTGAAGATGTTCCATTTATCAACGCTAACTCGGACCAGCGGAAGGATATTTCTTTGGGGGAAGTGTATAACGTATCCATAACTGTAAGTTGAACTTAACTTTTTTAAATTTTTGATTTTTACATTTTGTTCAATTTATTTACTTCCTTTGAGATATTTTTATGCATTTAATGGATTACTTACGTTGTACGAGACGAGGTTATACATCAATGCAATTTTAGAAATTTTCTCGATAAATAATTAATTATTTTCGGAAATTGGTAACGCAATTAACGCAGTATAAAAATAATTTTTAATTTAATTCTGGGTAAAAAATAGAAAAATTTAAAATGAAAACTCTTCTCTAGGTCGTAATTTGGGCTCAATTAAACACAAACCATCATGTGATATTGCTTCGAAACTTCACTTCTCAACTACAATTATAGCACTCGAATCTCGATTTGGACGACAGTGGTTCATTGTATTACTGACGCAAAATTGACTCATTGATGTTGAAAAAAACTCCCGTCAATGGGTACTTTAAAAACCTCATAGAAATGCTTCTTCTTCTCTTTTGTGACCCCACCCCCTCCACCCTTCTATCTTCCTTCTCCTTTCTCCAGATCTTATTTATTTCTGTATTTCTTAACTTCTCCTATCTGCCTTCTCCCACATCTGGCTGAGTGATAAGTATTTTATGGCAATTGTGGATTAAGTCAAAGACCCTAAAGAAACAATGCACAAAGAAAGAAATAAAAAAGAAACGTGGGCTGCCCAGCCACGAACATGAATAAAATAAATAAATAAGAATAATAGAATAAATATCATACATAATACATGATAACACTTATAAATTAGACAGAATTAGACTGTAAATTAGACGAAAACAAAAAAGAGAAGTTAAAGACACTTTTCAATAGTAAACAAAGTAAAGATATGAAAAAAAATGTAATAATATTAAAGACATATGTGGTAGTCCCCGCGTTGCAATGGAAGGTGCTCTTAATGTTTGCTAAGAAGACGTATGGTTTTTATTGGGAAGGAGTGTGGTAGACCGTCTGGATTTTGAAGGAAGGTAATAAGGTAGAATTAGAAGGAATACAGGTCAGACGAGTGGAAGTGGGGGGAATGAAAATGATAATGATAACGTTATAGAACAGAGAAGGAATGAATTACTTAAAAAATAAAATAGAAAATATGGTAGTTGAAACGGAAAGGAATAGGGGCTAATATTGAGGGGAAATTTAAATACCAGAACAGGAATTAAAGGAAAATAGGTAGAAATGGAAACAGTACCACAAGCTAGAAAATCAAGAGATAAAGAATGCAACAAAGAGGGAGAAGGGTTACTGGAATTATCAGAAAAAAGTGGTTGGAGAATTTTAAACAGAAATATGAAGCAATTCATATACATGGGGGTAGACGGAGGTCGGTAAATGAGTACACAATAGTGGAAGGAAGAGGTGATTTTGAGATAAGAACAAGGATAGAATCGGATCAGAACAGAATAGATCGGAAGAGACGCAAAGATGAAGGGAGATTCAGGTATGCACAAGAGACACGGTGAATCTGTATAGAGGGAGACTAAAGGAATAAGGAAAAGAGATTAGGGAATACAGAAAAGGAATGGTCATAACGTGGAAACAAATAACTGAATGTGGGGAAGGGGGGGATGGAAAAAAGGGAGTGGTAGAACAAAGAGTGTGCAGAAGAAATAAATAGATATAAAGAAATGACGGAGAAAGGAAGAAGAGGGGAAAGAGGAGAGAGAACAGAAAAAAGTACAACCGAATTATAAAGAAAAAAAGATGGAGAAACAGAAACAATACGAAGAGCAAATCAGGTTAATAAAAACAGAAAAGGATTTTTGGAAGGTGATAAACAGAGGGGAAAAAATCGAACAAATGGGAGGGTAGGTACAATTAGAAGACTGGAAGCAACATTTTGTCAAGTTACTACAAGGAAAGCAGGAGAAAGAGGAGACTATAGAAGAGTTAGGGAGAGAGAAGGGTGAAGGAGATGAGATAAGCGAAGAGATCGAGCAGCAAAAAGGCTACAGAAAGGGAAAGCGAGAGGGAGGGATAGGTATGGAGGCGTAGATTTTCGCCACGGATAGGCTCAAGGATAGGGTGAGAAATCTAGTAAACCAGGTATGGAAAGGAGGGGGTTTACTCTAAGAGTGGAAGGAAGAGTAATTTTGCCGGTCTTCAAAAGAGGGAACAAAGATTGTGTAGGAAATTGAAGGAGAATTACTACAATGACTACGGGCGGCGTATAGAATCTGCAGTGATACTGAACGAATGACTAGACAGAGAAGTGGAAGAGAAGAGGATATTAGAGGAAATATAAATGGGCTTCAGAAAAGGGAGGGGAACGATCAACTGCATACATGTATTACACAGATTGGTGGAAAAGGAATTGGAAAAAAAAGCCGAAAGTGTTCGCGTTTTTCATGGACTTAAGACAGCGTTTGACAGAGTTGAACAGGGAAAAGTATAGAAGATTATGTAAGATGACAAGAAGTTAAAGGATATAATCAAGGAACTATATCTAGAAATAAGGTTGAAATTGAGAAGAGAAGGAAAGGGGTCCGAAGTGTTTTGGACATATAATGGATTAAGACAGAGGGATAACTACTTATTAGTCCAACCCAATTTAATCTGTACTTAAGAGACATGGAAAAAGTATTGAGACAGAGCCGAGGTGGAGGAATAGCAGTGAAAAGAACAAAGATATGGTCCCTGGTATACGGGTACGACGCAGTAATCAAGGCAACAGAGGTAGAACAAATCAAGGAAATGATGAAAGGTATAGAATAATGTAGAAAAGTTCAAGATTATGAGATTTGGCAAAGCGAATGGAAGTAAAAGGGAGGTTGGAAATAGAGGGCGGAAGAAACAGAAGAGGTAAAAGAAATTAAATATTTAGGGTACCAAATGCAAAAAATAATGTGCGTAGATAAGAGAATTAAGTACGCATTCTAGTTATAATTTTTGTGTTGCCATTTAGGCGTCCAATGAAGATTGATTGAATAAATATAAATTCTACGGCTAAAATTTCAGATTGGTAACTACCGAGATTGGTGTACCGAGTGTTGGTTCGGCCATAAACTAAAGTATTGTGGTCTGAGATACCACGAAGGTTTAGAGGTTGTTTATCTTTATGTTGATCTGTATTTTATTTTCCTAATGAATAATGTGTCCGCGTTCCTGTGAATCTGACACCACACCACTCTTTCAAAGAAATAGTCATATGTGTATGAACCGGTACCGTAGATTTTGAGAAACTCCTCCCTGAGTAACAGCCGTTACTCTCTGTGCAATTGATATTGTTTTACAAAAAAGTAGCAGGACTATGCTATCATGTGTTAGTTGCTTTTGCTGTAAACCCGTAAAAATAAATTGCTTTTTCATCAATAAATTTCTGTCTTAATTGCGTGAAAGTCTTTGGTATTTTTTCAAAATTTAAAACAAAGGAATTGCTGTTAACAGTAAATTATATCGAAGAGATTCAAAACCTTGTTCCAGTAGAACCGCGAAGATGATTGTTATTTGACACTGTCCACTGTAAGAGAATAAGTCATTAGACCAGCAAAATAGTAAAAGTAGTTTACATTTATAATTTGAAGGTTTCTAAAGGAAGTCGGATGTGAAATTATTTTTATGAAAAATATGTAATTCTATATCAGTTTTCCTCACAGCCCAATATTTTTCAGATTACCGAGATTGCAAATGACCCAGGTGTTCAACGTATCGCCATTGATAAGAGGGGATGTAGATTTCCTTGGGAAATACCAAAAGATATGCGGGTCCACAAATATTATAGCTATTCTTCGTGCGTCGTACAGTGCCACGCAAATGCTCACTACAATTTATGCAACTGTACACATCATTTGATGCCAGTTTTGAGTAAGTATCATATTTAGGCAATGGAACCTTTACAGCACGTTCAGAGTTTCCCATCCAGTTGCATATCATGTTCATTGTTATTTTCATAGTCATGTTATGTTTCAGTGAGTTTCACATTAAATTCAACACCATTAAATTTGGACAATTCTCTGGGATCAACTGATTTTAAATATAAAAACGGATATAAGAGTTAAGTGTCAGTTGTGCAAAAATTCGAGTTCTTATAAAAATGAAACTAGTCTACAAATGCATATGTCTCGAATTATAAAATGGGAGTAAGCTAAACGATCATGTCTTATGCAAGTGGTTCAGCTGCTGGATTTAATTTATTTAATTTATTTATTTATTTATTTATTATCTCTCTCTTGTTCTGGGCCCTCAACAGGCTTGCGCCCAATTACAGAGTGACCCGCATAATTTAATTGGATATTTTGTTGGTGAAACAGCAATTACTATCACATATTGCTACAAAGCTACAAAATACCTGCAGAAACATATCAGTATCTATTGCTATACAGCGAGGAAACGCTGCTGGTGCTTTAGGGACTTATATTATTATAAGTCAGACCCGCAATACCTAATTTTTTTCCCATACCTGTACAAAACCCTATTCTGGTTCTTACTCACACTCTCACCCCCTCGAAGTTCAACTTTAAGCTCGATGGTTGCACCAATGGGATCAAAGAAAATCAAAAGACAATTATATAATACATACATTTCTAGAACCTTTACTAGTGGATTATGTATCGGTGGGGGGTTGATAGTATTATCTACATTTCTCTCTAATTCCAAGTTAATTAATAATTCAATCGGATTTAAACAATCAAACGGTTGTAATGATTCAGTTACCACCAATAAACACTTTCATCACTTTGATGTCGTCATTTGTCGGTGGATAACTACAGATTTGCGCAACAACATCCCTTACATATTAAATTTATAATTTATTGATACGTATATAATTGCAGGCGACCAGAAATACTGCGACATGGAAGGTTTGGAGTGTCTAACTGAAAATTTCGGTAGACGAAATAATAAATAAAAGGGCGTATAAACAATTTTATGCGTTTCATGTTTTACAGATACTTTAAACAGACTTCACGCCAAGGGATCGAGTAAACCCGGATTAGTATGCGACTGTATTCCTTCTTGTGTCGAACCGGAATATAAAATTGTTTCAGAACAAAGAAGGTAGAGGGAACATATAACAGCAGAAGAGAAATAATGTTTATTAGAAAACTAACTTTATTACAGCCGTTTAAAGGGTGGTAACAGTAAAATTTCACTGAAATTGCATTCCTTGCCAACGTTTCGTTTTAAAAGGAACGTCCTGAGATCGACCATGGATTTAGTGGGTAAGGTTGCATATCGCGCATGAAAATCAATTATCAATTTTTTATTAAATTACAGTTTCGGGCGGCGGCAGCGTAGGTCTTTTTATCGGAGCGTCTCTGCTTAACATTATAGAGGCTCCGTATTTGCTATTCATGAGGCAGTAATTCCTCGCAGTGTATTTAGAAGTATCAAGCGGCCTTTCTAGGTTACTTTCTAAATTAGATTTGGGTATGAGATTTTTGTTGGCAGTAAAAATTTGATCAATGTAGATTGATAAGTAAGCTACGGTGTATTTCAATTTCATTAGTAACAAAGGACCCATACTTTCAAGAAGATAAAGGGAGTTTCTGTTTCCATTACGATAAGGTAAATTTCGATACAAACTAGATCTTTAATATGCATTTTATTACCAAATATAATATATAATAAGTATGTATTATTGTCATTATTTCTGTTCACCTAATAAACGAAAATAAAATACGTTAACTTGATTCCAAAATATAATCTGCATGCAAAGAATTGTGACACTCAGATAATCATAATGCTTCAAACCCGAGCATTCTAAGACGATTCCTTCGAGAGTTAAAGCAGCAGATCGCTCGACCGAACGACCAAAGTCGGTGGATCAGGGCGACAAGAAGGTCGCGGAAGGTTCAAAAACACGTAAGGACAGATACACATGTGCATGTAACGGTTAGGATACTAGGTATATGGGTACAATAAACTCTCAATTTCAATCTATTTGTCAGTACATAGTCGGTAAAAGTATCGTAGATTGGTTTACGGCAGCTATGTAAGCTTTAATGGGTGTGGGGAAGACTACGCCTTCTTTACGTAGTTTAAGTAATAAGATTTTAATATTTCCCGCTCTCTGAACACAACTAAAAAACAAATGGTTCAGATCTCCCGCAGTCGCAGGATGGTGAGTCTAAAATCCCAATTTTGAGCAAGTGGCCAGGATATCTACCATGCCCAAACTTTAGCCTTGCTATGGTGGTTTTGCACCAGTGCTCTTTAACAAGGTTAAGATCAGTGGTGGAGTAATGTGTTTTTTTGATTCAGTAAGCGATATTCCAGTAATTCCCCATTGGAAATCAACCGTTTTTAATTTAATTAATCGTACCACGTCACACTTGGAAAGAACATTCGTCATTCAACGTCCATTTTCCACGCAATCCGTTGGTAAGGCATCTGCGATCTCGTTATGTTAAATGCCTACATGACCCAATATACCCAATATACTCGTAGTTGTATTACGCTCGACACGTTTCGAACATAAATGGTCTGCAGTATATAATTTCCTGTAATATACAGAGTCCGGTTGGTCATATTCTTCTTCTCCTTTCGTACTTGGAGCACTCCTTTGAAAGTATTATAACATGCCTGATCTTCCTTTCCACAGAATGTTGTGTTTAGACACCCCTTATTCTGGCTAGTAAATGGCTAAAAAATTCTAGCTCTTTTGGAAAGTTTAGGTACTATTTAGATTTTCCTTTTGGACATGCTTTTTTGACGGGATCACGCAAACTTGGTATCTACTTAGCCAGACGTTGATTTTTGAAAAATAAGCGAAATAGGAACACATCATAAAATAAAGGAACGACAAGTTTTTATTTTCAGAGCCAAATTAGCGACAAAAAAAGCGAAAAATTGCTAATACAGCAGCCACTTATTTCTGACATAACATTACGATGGCGTAAAAACTACACCAAAGCCGGTAATAATATAAACGAACAGAAGAAAACTTGATTGTTCGATGCCCATGTAGTATCTGAGGTACTCATATTTCACACTAGCAGGTTTGTTTATTCACAAAAAACTATTACCGGTCGTCCATAAATACTCATATGCACCATTATCTTTTGCAAAGACAGTTAGGTACATTTTTGTTTGTAACAGTTTTCAACGTTACTTTTACCATTTTTATTAAAAAAAATACTTACATGTTTTTGTTGTTCACACTTGTATGTAAAAAAAAAACATTTTGTGGTTTCAAAATGTCGCTTTATCAGAATGTATCGGTACGTACCACGAAAAAGATGCCAGCAACTAAGATTAATTAAACAAAAGCACTTCTCAAGCCAATCTACCAAATTAACACATTTTTCGGAAAAAGTTTCCCTTGCCTCAAGAAGACTAAGTTAACAAAAATGTTTAAATTATGTTAAAGTATCTGCCGGTTGTATGACAAAACATAAAAAGTTTCACTTTTTAATTTAAATCGACATTCCCTTTTAGGTAGAACTTTTAATTTTAATACGCTTAATTACCTACAAGCTAAGATTCTGTTTTATTAACTCGTTACAAAATTTTTATCAAAACTTTTCGAGCGTTAATTTTTTAGCGCGTTTTGAATTAATTAGTTAGGAATGTTTATAGATCATTTCACCCAATGAGATAAATTTAATTTAATATTTCCTTTCAATACGTCACTCTCATTGTTTATTTCATTACACCTGAAAGTGCATTTATTTGGAATTTTAGCTTATCTTCCGTTTTCGCGATCACATACGGTAATTTGTATTCGTAACGGCAATGAAGTTGAGATGAACTTTGTTTAAGTCGGAAAATGGTTTATCCCAACGATTGCATTTAAAGTGAGCAATGTACTCTTTAAATCTATCTATTATAATCAAGTGTATATTGCACAAACTAAAAGATTATTGGGAGTGCATAGATTGTTTCAAATACAAAAATCGTTTGGATAAATCTAGCGTTGTCGCACTTGAAAATATCAGTGTCGTAGTGAATATTTCACTAATTAAGCAAGTAAACAGCAAGTGTGAGTGGGATTGATCTGAAAGCTTAGAGATTCGTAAAAGCAACCTCCTCTTGAATCAGTCGAAGTATGTACGCTTTTTGTTTTAGGATAAAAATTAAGCTGTATTACGACCACCTAAAATTTCATATGTACCGCTTCATGCATATAGTAATCTCGAGTAGGTTTAATCCCTGGTTTAATCGCACAGCCTTTGGATAGGTTAATTACTGCAATAAGAACAGATGCGAGTCGTCCAGTTTGCGTTGGGCTCGTATCGCTTTTCCTGGCCGGCACGGTTTACAGGTACGAATAGTAGATTGCGATTGTCACAAAACGCGGCGGCGAGTACCGAATGTGTGGGGGCACTGAAGGAATTCCGTTGCCGTTTCAGCTTTTTTGATGGGCGCTCTGAGCAAAAATATAAAAGGGATGACAAGAAGAGCGGCCGCAACGAGAGAGTTTTAACCCTCGAGAAAGTCAAGGGTCGGATGGAACCAGAGTCTAATTTTAATTCCGAAGACTGATCCTTGGCTATTAGACAAAAGTGGGAAAACTTCTTTGAGTGGTATCGAATACGAAACTTTGAGAACCACCGAGTTAGGTTCTGATTGACCAAAATCTGGTTCGATGACCGGTAGTCTTAGAATTAGCATTTTGAGTTAACGAAGCGAAACCCTTCAGGTAGTTATTAACCGCCTTTATTTTGATACTCCCAACGGAGCCGATATTCACACAGTGCCGTAATGCGTCCAATTAATCTTAATATTGCGCCGACTTTTAATAATTTAAGCTCATATTTCAGAGTAGTTTGTACATCAATTAAAGCCTGTATTTTAGCTAGTATCATCCACGTAAATGGGAACATCAATTCGAAGAGTATGAAATATGAGAATGTCAGCAAAAAGAGAAACCGAAAGGAATTAATTACTTTCTTACGGGTATAAATGTAAGGTTATCACGTAAAATTCGGGACATTGTTCAACTTTAACCTTCGATATTGAATTTTCCAGTGAGAAAAGCATAAAGAAAAGATAAGTAAATAATAATTTCCGTTTTAGTTTATATTGTCAGAATTGAAAGACGCCGAAAATGATAAAATGGAATACCATTATACCTTTACATTATGAATTGAAGGTGGGGGTGGACATAAAAAGAAGCGTGCTTGTAATGTATTTCTTATCTATCTTTCCGTCAACGATTTCATTGCAAATGCTGGAGTATTTAGTATGATTGATTCGCTGTCGCAGGTACACAAGAGAGTTAGAAATTAAATAATTATCCAAGAAATTGTATATACATGAAACACAGGTAAGTGATTTATTAAATGACACAATTAATAAATATATAACTCTCGCCAGGAAAGATTGCCGGTCACAGCACACCTTTTGTCAATTTACAATCTATGTCCACAGCTTACTTAGTAAGTAAGCTGTGCTATGTCTTTTCGTTCAGCATTGGCACGATCCTAGCCCGGAAGTCGCTCACATCTTTAGAACACAGATTGTGGACCGGGATCAGGTCTTCTGCAATCTTTCCTGGCGAGAGGTTTATCTAAACTATTATAGAATTAATAACACAAATTGCATGGAGTTCCTAGCAATACAACGATAATCATGGACTTAACCGGCAATACCTTACAGTACAACATATTGCATCCATATTACATTACATCTCAACTATAGTATCACAAGGATCGGGTTGATAATTTTCAGGGTAGTGTGGACAGCTTTTGGTGTGGATTGACGTGCCACATAATTTAATTAAACAGTTAGAACGAATATACGTTTCTTTAATGAAAAGAAAAAAATCGAGGAAAAAATGCATGTAATTTTAAACAAGTTAATTGCATAGCTATAGATGATTTGTGGGATAGATTAGTTTCTTGTGTTTGCTCGCATGAACATTCTTGCAAATCTGCAAATGGTACTATAGATGCACTACTTCCAACTAAGTCAAGATCTAAGTACGAAGAACACTACAAAAATTTAGTGCATCACCCTATAATGAACGCACCACTAATGATCGCGACAGATGCATTCGCGGTAGGAGGATCGTGGATTGCGCAAGAACCAACCCTGAAGAAATTCCTCGTATAGCACGAGCAAGTTCATCTATTGTGATGTCTCTTAGGCGAAAGTCAGACCATTCGTAATGCCAAGTTGATACACACAAACCTACACCGATTGTCATATCCAGGAGCCAAATGCATTTGAAAAAATACTATAACCGATGGACAAACATGACAAGGCACAAGCGGTCAGAGATAATTCCCTGGTCAGTCACCCACCACAGTTTCGAATACGTCCATATAGACCTACTATAGTCCAGAAGAAGTCCAGGCTCCAACGCCATTCAACAGAAGTAGTCGAGCCATAACCTAGATGTGTTCTATGTCACCCGATCCGATCGAAAAGTCAAATTAAACATCGCCAGCGAGGACGTATGCGTCAACCCAGTCAGTGACCATCTCCCACAGGCTTTTTAAGGCCGAGCTCCACCGCAAGGTGTCATCTGTCTCTGAGCACTCATTCAGACCAGACCACCTACATCGGCTGCTATCGCGTACGCGTTTAACCGACGAGCAGTCTCAGACAGTTTC